TAGGAGTGTGGTGAAAAACCCAGGTCACCTTTTTGGATTCTTATTACCCAAGTTACTAAGAATATTACCAGTGGCTTATAGGGAGCTTAGCCAATGAGCGGTCAGAAAAGGTGTTTCCCCTGTAGTTCACACTGATGGCCACCTCGGCAAGAGGCGTGACCCCCATCACCCTCCGATCACTGGATCAGCCCCTCGCTTAGGCCTGACACCTCTGACCTAGGCGTCAGGCCTGGGCAGGGGACCCCCATATACCCCCAATCGCTGGCTCCGCCACCCGCCCAGGCCTGATGCCTCTGGCTGAGGCTTTAGGCTTGGGCAGGGGCTCCCCCACAGCTCTGATGGCCGGCTCTGCCCTTGCCCAGGAGCCCCCTGGCTCAGGCCGTTCCTACATTGCTCAGGGCCCACTGAGTGACCTGGGTGCCGATGATGTTCCCGGGACCCAGGCTGCTGGGCGCCTATGTATTCAAATTAACCGCCATCTTTGTTGGGTTAATTTGCATACTCATCTGATTGGCTGGTGAGCATAGTGGAGTGATGCCAATTTGCATGTTTCTCTTTTATTAGTGTAAACTAGTGGCCCGGTGCACAAAAATTTGTGCACTCGGGGGGCATTCCTCAGCCCAGCCTGCCCCCTCTAACAGTCTGGGAGCCCTCACAGGATGTCCTACTGATGTCCCTGTGGGAAGCAGGCCTAAGCCGCAGCCTGGCTTCCCTCTGTGGAAGGCAGCTGGCCTATCAGGTATATAGATACTTTCTGAAGGCAGCACAGACTCCTTCCTTATTTCTTTCCTCTGTGGTTGGAGAATAGGGCACTAAAAGGTGGAGACAGAACTATGGCTGGGTCTGGGGCTCTTGTAGGCAGCAGAAAGAAGGAGAGGGCTGGGAAAGTCTAGACATGGTTTTCTTCAATTGTCCTCCCTTCCTCCGGGCCCCTTGCTCTGTTATTTCCTTGTCGTGGTGGACGCTTGGGTCTTGGACTGACAGGAGCCCAGCGATGGTGGAGTTCAGCCCCCTCACTTCTCAGCTGAACATATAACCACCTCACATTCCAAGTGTAGCTGTTTTCAATTGGCTACAGTGCTGGCAATTCATGCCTCCCGGCCTTTCCCCTCTCGGGTTTCCTCCTTGGGTCAGTTGCTAACTTCACTGAGACACCGAAGCAACTGTGCCCTGGTACTTCTGCACCGGCCCCTGCCAGGGCCCACACCAGGAGGATACCAGCTGAGGTCTCCTCCCTGCACCCAGCGCTCTCCTCCCTGTTCTACCACTGGGGGAAGGGAACAGCTCACCTTCTCTGGACCCTGCCAACCTGGCAGGCTGAGGCACAGGCTAGGCGGTGCAGCCTAGGGTGCTGGTGGCTGCGAACCTTCTCCCCATCCCTGGAGCGTGGGGTGGGGTTGCAGCAGCTCACAGCTGCCCCTGGGCACCATGCATGGAGATACCACTCTCCACTGAGCCACCATCTGCCCAGGACCTGTGGGGGTTGGGGTAGCCTCGGGCTCCCACTGGTCCCACTGTAGCCAGACTCGGCTTGGCCGGCCACCCCCACTGCCGGAGGGCTGTGCATGCTCCCTGGGCCTCATTGCCCGCAT